ATTTTGCGTGAGACCGCCGTTTTGGTCACGGCAATTTCTCACGGCGTCTGTTTCACCATTGCAAGTACTATGCACAGGTATCTACCATCCACTTGCAGGATTAGCTTACGGCAATAAATCACGTTACGTTGTTGATAGGCGAGCGGATCTGCCTTGACAGACAGTCCCAGACTCGACGGTCCCGGCTTGACGATAACGGATATGTGGCACAACCTCGCCGGATTTTTTGCATCGAGTATATTCAAAGCCCAGACAACAGTGTTAAAAAGCGTGCACAATACCATGCCTCCCCGCATTTTCCCATCTGACTATCACCATAACCATTGTTATAAACGAGTTCGTGCCTTCTGTTTGTGTTAGCTTTCTAAATATGCATGGCAACACACTGCGTGTGTAGCACGATGCACAATCACACTTAACACCAGCCACGGAAACAGATGGGACGGTTCTGCGGACTTATGCTCCCAAACCGGGATATAACCCTGCTCGTACCGACTGTCACAACAGACTGACGAAAGGCTTGATAGCGTGATAAAATCAGTTACGGAGAAATTCCTTACCCAGTGCGTCCCATCTCAATGTGGTGATGAAATCTGCATCATTACGGACCGATTCAAAATAGCTTTGGCCGTCGCTGAGCTACCGAAGAAGGATGCAGCTTTTCATTCCGATGTATCAACGCGGGACCTCGATGTCGCGGAGCCTGGCGATGACTTAGTGATATCAAGTGGCACCTCGGATTCCTTGTCAGCGCTCTGAAACAAGTGCTGAATCTGTTCCAGCGAGAGACCCTTTGTTTCCTTGAGACAAAATGTGGCAAATAACACCTGGCACAAGCTCGCCAACATGTGAATGATGAAGCCTCCACCCAGACCGATCGCTCCTTTAATGACTGGGTACTTTTCATCAGGACAAATGTACAAAAATTTATTTCAGCAAGGGCGATGTTTGCGCCCAAGGTGCGCGTCTTGTTGGGCAGCAGCTCGGTGGCGAAGTTAAATGTGACGTTGGCGATCATACCAACAAAGGCCACCTGCGTCAGGGCCGCGCCCGTCAGTACAATCCAGCCGAGGCGCTCCTGAGACTCCGCGGCAAGGAAGAAGTACGCGGCGATAGTGGCGCAGCCGATTGGCGGAGAGTGCGCCGCCCAGACGTAGCACCGGAAGCCGGCCGTATCTCTCGATAATAATGCCGCTGGGGGACGCAGACGAGCGTGGCGAGGCGCGGCCGGCAGATGGCACGCTGGTACTCGCTTAGCGTGTAGCCGCACCGGTGCCAGCACGAAGGCGGTGATGAGCAGCACCGTGAAGCCACCGCACCCAGCAAACAATACCATCTGGATGGAGACCAGTAGCAGCGGGCGTCACGTGCCCGGCTGCCGGCAGCAACGTCCACTGCGGGCAACCGCGGCGCCGTCCACATGCGCGTGTTGCAGGGAGTTCGTGGATACTGAGCACCTCGGCAGAGGCGTCCACATGAGTGCCACGGAAAAACCGGATAGAGCGCACGGCTTCCTCCTCCGAGTGGCCGCGCGAAAGCAACCACTTGGCCGAGTTGGGCAGGAAAAGGAGACCGAAGAGACAAAGCGCGGCCGGAACCAGTCCTACCACGATGAACAGCACCTGCCAGTGCAGCTGCGGCGCCACGGCCAGCGCCAGCACCTGGCCCAAGTACACCATGAAGTTCAACAGGGCTGTGAAGAGAGCACGGCGCGTGGGCGGCACAATCTCGGACACATAACTACGCACGCCGCCCTCGGATATGCCGAGCGCCGCGAACATGACCAACCGACCGCTCAGCGTCCAGCCGAAGTGGCTGCCGACGCCGACCGCCAGCGAGCTGAGTGCGTACAGCGGCATGGTGAGCAGCAGCAGGCGCCGCGCGCCCAACACCGGCACCACCGGTGCGCTCAGCAGGCCGCCTAGCACGGCGCCCAGCGAGGTGGCGACGATCGACCAGTTGAGCTGATCGGCGCTGAGGAAGCCGTCGGGCTCGTCCGGCACTTGGATGAGGGTGACGCTGTTCATGCCGAAGTTCAGGCCCATGGCCAGCAGCAGCTGACCGAGGACCACCAAGGCCAACACCTGCAAGCAAGAATAACTGATATGATGGCGTGTCTTTCAATGGGCGTGATCTGTTGGCTGATATCTGAAACTTTTAAGATATTTTGGTCTTATTTTATGTAAATTATATTTCCCTTTCAATTGCGCTTGTACTATAAACGTGATTACGATCATCCACGATGTGTTATTTACTTCTTGTTCGAGTTTGAACTTAATGGCTCCTTACAACGCATACACGTCTTCTGTTAGTTTTCTATTTGTATACTTACTCACTTACTTAATTGTCTTTGATCACCCTATTCTTGTACAAGTTGATCAAAACTGTACTAACCTATACAAGAACCTGTTCTTGTACTGCGCAGCTGAACCATCGAAAAAGCAATTCACTTTTCCATATTCAAACGGCGCTTTTCACTTCCGTTACAAAATGCTGCAGAAATGTACCGCCCGCAAAACTGTTTTATTTCATCGTGTCTGACAGCACACAATAACGTTTATATGTAACCTGTCCACGTTCTGATCAATATACCACGAAATGATGCAGCATGCATTGCGGCGCATCCCAATGAAACTGCTAAACTTCGTCCT